CAGGAGATCGACAAGATGGGGAGGATAAAACCAGTCATGAACTCCTGGCACAGAGGTACCTGTTTCCAAGGAAGGGTTTGTAGGATGTGTTGGCACGGGCATCCTGAGGTCTATCACTACTGTTGGGGTGGGGGTCCAGGGTGCTCTTGGGGTCTCTGCCTCAGGTGGATGTCCTGGGGCTGCCTCTGCTCTGGGGATGGCAAGCCCCATGGGCACTCTGTGTCTTTGAGCAGCCTTGCATCACTAGTGGGACATGGCACGTGGGGGATCATGTAGGAAAGGGCTGTGGGATGGAGGTCAGACCTAGTGATGGGCCCCCTCCGCAGGCTCAGCCGTGAACTCCAGGAGAAGGAGAAGGTGATTGAGAGCCTGGAGGTGAAGCTGCAAGAGCGCTCTGAGTCCCCAGGTAGTAGCTGCCCACCCTCGGAGTCATCCCACTCTGCCAGCAGCTCATCCTTCACCTCCGAGGGGCTGGAGCCCTGCTCCGATGGGGATGCGGCCAGCGAGTACAGCCAGTGCCACGAGGAGCCTGCCCAACACGCAGGTACCACACGGTGACCAGGGGTCACAACTGCAGTTCCTCTGGACACAGGGACTTGGCTTCTCGTGTGCCAGAGTCCCCAGAGCACCAGGGAGGAGGAGTCTCTGCCAGACTGAGCCAGAGCCAATGTGACACCTCTCTCCATCTCTCTCCTCTCTCCAGGCCTTCACTTTGACTCCTTGTCCAAACCTGTTAGTGCCCCCCTGCCTGCCCTGGCCCCCGGGCTGTCCCCCTTCCTCCCTGCCGGAGCCCCTCCTCCTGTGGCCCCGCCACTCCTGGGCTGCTGCGGGAATTCTGTCTGCTCCCTGGCTGAGGCACAGCAGGAACTGCAGGTGCTCCGGAGGCAACTGGGAGAAAGTGAGCACACTGCCTCTTGGCTTGGGTTTGGTACTGCCCACCCTGCATGCTGTGCTGTGACATGTCATACCTCACCCTCTCCGACCTGCATGTCCTGCCCTTGATCTTCTCCTTCTTCTCTGGGCTATGGCTTTGAGGCTGGGTCCCACTGCTCTGGCTGGGGCACAATGGGAACATATCACCTAGAGAGCACCTGGGGGGTTGGAGGGACCCATCCCAAGACAGCATTAGCCCTCGGTGTAGGCTGGCATATTCCAGGTTTTCTAGGAAAAGGCTGATTTGCTAAGGGGTTGTGTAGGAGTGGGGCTGAGACCTTCCACCTTGTGTCACATAATCATCAAGTCCTGGGAGAGCCCCTGCTCCTCAGGAGGAATAGGTTTGGTTGGGATATGAGGTCAGTGATGGGGGACACTGGACTGCACTGTTGTGCAGAGCAACAAGTGGGGGGAAAAATCAGATGGAGGGAGTGTGCTGCCCCGTTTTTCCTACCTGCTCATTGTCCTTCTCTTCCTTTCTGCTTTGTCCTTTGTGCGCAGGTGTGACACTGCCCATGGCATCAGCAAAGCCCACAGTCCCACTGGGCCCCTTTGGAGAGGGCAGCAAAGCCCCAGCATCGTTCTGCCGACATGGAGCCCTGCAGGGCCCAGCTGAGCTCCCTGGGGCCACCGACACCCGCGGCCTCTGGGACGTGCCCCCGCCTGGCCAGCTGCTCTACGGGGCCCTGCCACCAGAGTACCCCTCTGGCCAGAAGCTGACAGGTATGGTCCATGGTGGAGAGCCCAGGGGCATCCTGCCTGCCTGTGGGGTACTGGGAGGAGATCCAGCACCACAACAGCCGTGGGACAGGGCTCTGCTAGGGAGAGAGGCAGGCACAGCCTTTCCTGCCCTGAGCTGTGTCCCTGGTTGTGGCAGGGGCAGACTTGCTGGAGGAACACCTGGTGGAGATCCGCAACCTGCGCCAGCGCCTGGAGGAATCCATCTGCACCAACGACCGGCTCCGGGAGCAGCTGGAGCGCCGCCTGGCCTCCACCGGCAAGGGCAGCGGTACGGGGCGCACGGGCTGGGGGGCCAGGCCTCTGCACATCCCTCTGCTCACCCCGTGCACAGCGGGGCCCTGGGGAGAGAGACTCAGCGCCGGTCCCCTCCACAGGATTACCCAGTGATGTCTATGCCCAGACACCGGAGCTGGGGCTGCAGATGAGCAGGGAGAACCAGGCTCTGCACGAGGAAAACCGGACCCTGCGGCTCCAACGTGACCACCTCTCCCAAGGCAGGGCTGGGCTAGCATCCTGGGGCTGAGTCCCAGAGGGCACTGGCTGAGTGGGGTGGGGCTGACACCTCCGTGCTCTCTGTCCCCAGAGCTGGCACGGGTGCAGGAGACACTCGTGGCTGCCTGCTCCCGGGCACGGGAGGCTGAAGCAGAGCTGGGCCAGAGGCGTGGGAAGCAGCGGAGGCTGGCAGAGGAGCTCTCCGAGTGCCAAGAGAGCATCCGGCAGCTCCGGGATGAGCGGCACTCTCTGCAGGAGGACAACAACAGGTAAGGTTTGGGGCACTGTGGCCTTGGGGCCACAGGATTGGGAGGGATGACTGGCACCGGACCCACGTGTCACCTCTGCAGGCTGCAGCACTCAGTGACGCTCCTGCAGCAGCAGAGTGAGGAGCAGCACCTGCTCCTGCAGACCCTGCGTGCGGAACTGCATGTCTACGAGAGCCTCCCCGGCCCCTCTGCTGAGACACGAGCAGGTATGGGACCCGTGCATGGCATCCCTGCCCAGCTCCTGCCCTTGGGGGCCCTGGCCCCTCTGCAACCCTTGGGTGGTCCCAGACACTTCTCCTGGGGCAGAAGGTTGCACACAGTGGCCCTGCTGGCAGGCGGAGAGGGAGGGAGGGCAGGACCCCAGCAGCCTCAGGCACGGAGCCACATCTACCTACAGGGGCTCAGATGTTTCTTGTTCCAGGCTGCTTCCCATCTCCTCCAGTGCGCGATGTTGGCACTAACTCAGCAGCTCCCCTCCTCTCCCCACTGCCCTCCGGCACGTCGGTGCTCCGACGGATGGACGGTGGGTTCTGCTGAACTCGTGGCAGCACCCTTGCTGAGCAAGACTGGAGAGCTCAGAGCAGAGTCAAGTGCCCGGGATGGGACAGGGTGGGTCACGAGGGCAGCGGGCAGTGGTCCTCACCTAACCCAGCTTGCTCCGCAGAGCCACGCGGGGCAGACGTGCTGCTGAGGAAGAGCGAGGGACTGACGGGGGCTCACATCGTCGGCCGCCTGGACACGTACCGAGCCCTGGAGCAGCACATCGTGGAGGGAAAGGCCTTGGCCCGGGAGCTGATGTGTCTCACACGCCCAGCACTCGGGCTGCCCAGCTGCCCGCTCCCGGGAAAGGAGGTAAAGCGTGGGCAGGACGGGGCAGGCAGCAGCTGGGAGCCAGATCCTCAGTGTACCGTGCATTACGTGGCTCCCGAGCCCAGAACCAGCTCCGAGGGCTGCAGGGGCAGCTGGAGGCAGGGAGCCTCCAGCCCAGGGAATGCTGCTGGCACTGCCCCGTACTCCCCGCGTACGGCGGGATGGGGGTGCCCCAGCAGCACCTGCTCCCGCTCCCTTCTCCCGCAGGCCCGGGGATGGACGGGCACGGGGCAGGGGCACCTGTGGGGCAGCGCCAGCACCCTGCACGGCATCCTGGAGGAGTGTGTGTCCCTCCTCACTGCCTTCTGGAGCACCATGCTGCCCGTGAGCCCTGCCCAGCACCAGGGCAAGGTGAGCAGGGGCTCGGGGCCGGCAGGGCACTGGGGCCGGGTGCTCACTGCTCCTCATCCCTCTCCTCTGTCCCAGGAGCAGGTGCTCCAGGGCGAGATCGCGGCGCTGCGGGCCCGCCTCTCCGAGAGGGAGGATGCTCTGCAGAGTACGGCCAGGCGGCTGCGCAGCACAGCGCAGCTCAAGGACAGCATGGAGCAGTTCATCGTCAGCCAGTGTACGTGCTCTGGTGGCACAGCCAAGCTGGCCTGGTCCCACGTGCCCCATGTGGCTCCGTAGCACAGGGACCTCACTGGCCCCATCTCTCTCTCCTGCAGTGACCAGGACCCACAATGTGCTGCGCAAGGCCAGGACAAATCTGGAGGTGAATTTGCCCTGACAGCCAGGGGTGGGTGTCCCGGTCCTGATGCCCTGGGGATGGACACAGATGGCACACACCCTGTGGTGGCTGTCGTGGAGTGCTGAGGACTAGCTGGGTGAAGCGTGTGGGGGACACATTTGCCTTGTCTGTCCTCAACTATCCTGTCCATGTCCCCAGGGCACAGTAGTGCTCTTCCTTACTGCCATGTGTCATCTCTTGCCAGGTGAAGGCCCAGCAGGCCCTGCCTGTTGCGTGAGCCCCGTGCAGGGCAAGGAGCAATGGCCAGCATGGGAGAGCCCACTGGCTGATGAGCCGAGCCATACCAGTGGGCTGAAGTGGACCCTGTCCCTGCTGCACTGAAGGCCAGGGTGAAAGGGGTCTGGGGCATCCAGTGCTACACTGGATGTAGTTAGTGGATTTGGGCTGCTGTGGTGGTTGCATGCCCTCCACCAGCCTTTGCTTGGCATGGCAGCAGCAGCTGCTGGCTTGGCCATTGTCTGGCCCATGCTTCAGCACTTGCTCCCTTCCCCCCTCAGTGCTCAGAGTGGGGTGACACAGCCCCCATGCTGAGCACACCCTGCCCTGGGACCTGGTCCCCTCTGTAACCCTGATGAGTCCCTGTCCCTGCTTGTGGATGTATGTATATGTACATAGACAGAGGTATTGGAAATGCGTTTTGGGGACTCCGCACATGTCGGGACCCCAGCGCAGGAGGAAGATGTAAGAAATGCCATATTCTGTTCAGTGGCTGAAGAGTCCCCAATAAAGGTTTCCCTTGGGTTGTGGTGTTTCTGGCATGCCTGTCTCTGCAGCTGTGCTCCCCCTCCCCAAACCACCTGCAGCACAGGGTGCCAAAGGCCCCAGGTGTCCCCAGGGGGTGGCTCTGTGCCCTACCCTAACAACCCAAGGGCAGCTGTGCGCCGCACTGGGTGCTCCCTTTCCTCCTCTTCTAGACTCCCTCTCCAACACCAGGCAAGCAGCACCGAGAACAATAAATACTGTAATAAATAGAGAACCCCCTGTCCCACGGCACTGCTGCGGCAGCAGGCGGTGCAGCCAGGGTCCTGGAGTGCCTGCCCGGCTCTGCTTTTCCAGGGCATGTGCCGGTGCCCCTCTGGCTGTGACAAAGTCAGCCCTGTCCCACAGCAGCAGCTGATGTTGGGGACAGGGCGTTGCAGTCCTTGATGGTGCTCTCACAGCAGCAGGTAAGAGTGGCTGTGTCCAGATGTACCGTCCATCATGCTGGCTCGACGCTGAACCTCGCAGAGGTTCAAAAAAGCTGGGGGGGCAGCCCCACAGCCAGGGCTGTGGAACAGGGGGCAGGTGTCAGGCTGGAGTGTCACAGAGTCCCTAGCAGACAAGGTGGCATTGGAGATTCAGCACCAGGGCAGCAGCACAACCTTCAGAAGAACAGGATGTGTTCCTGGAGCCTGGATGGGGTGCAGTGCCAGGACCACCTTGAGGCCCTCACAGGCTGGAGGAGACAGGCAGGGTGAAGCCCTTTTCGTGTTGGGCGTGAGGAAGGGCTGGTCTGGTGAGCAGCAAAGTGGTCCCAGAGACTCACAGAAGCCAAGGGAAGCTGCAGGTGGGTGGAAACCAAAGGCTGAACCACACCGGTAGGATGGGACAGCGTCACAGGCCCCAGTGGCCCTGAGCTTGTTGCCGGGGCCCGTGTCCCTGCCAGGTTGGAGGCTGGAGCCAGTGGCTAGTTGTCACACAGTCCCGCGGCCCAGTGTGTGCAGACAAGCGGCATTTGGTGTCCTGCGTGGGGAGCGTGTGAGGCCCCGGCTCAGATGGGCTTGTACAGCAGCGTGGTGACGTACTTCTTCTTGTAGCGGTGTGTGGCACTGAGCACCATCACGCCGTCCTGAGGGAGACAGCGTCAGCATGTGGGGCCAGGGCACCCCTGGGGCTCAGGGAGCTGCCCCAGCCTGTCCCTGCTGTCCCCAGTGCCCAAGCCAGTACAATACACAACAGGGCAGCGGGACAGAGCAAGCGCAGGGTCTGATACACGCTTAGCTCCCCCACGCTGAGGGAGGCAGCTGAAGGGAATTGTCAGGAAGTCACACCCTCTGCCCCTGTGCGTGCCACCCCTCACCAGGCAGCCAGCTCTCATCTCCACCCCCCAGCTGAGCAGGTTCTGCAGGCTCCTGGGAGCCACAGCAGCTCCTCACCTGCAGCCTCGCAGGACCTGCGCTTACCTTGATGGAGAGCGCGTAGAGGTGATTGAGCATGACGTGGTTGGGCTCGGGCAGCAGCGCTGGGTCGCACTAGGAGGAGAGGAATGTCACAGGGGAGCAGCAGAGCCCTGACCCCCCAGCCCCTGCCAGCACAGGGAGCTGCTGTCTCAGGCAGCTGGAGCTGCCACCGCCTCTGGCTGTTCTGAACAGCAACAGAGCTCAGCTAAGCACCAGAGGCCAAATCAGTGTGGCAAATGGGAAAAGTGATGCTTTTCCTACGAAACAGACCCCAGGCTCCCTGCAGACAGGACTCCCTTTCTGACACCAATGTGGCTCTCTCAGTGGGCACTGTGCTGGTACACACCGAGATGTTGGTGTCCTTGTTGAGGATGACCTGGAGGAGGTGAGGTGGGAGGATGGGTGGGGATTTGAAGCGCTCCTCGGGCCGGTATACGTACATCTCCTGGCCATAAGGTCCCGGTGGGGAGCTGGACAAATCTAGAGAGAAGACAAAGGCACAGACATGAAATGACTGAAGCAGGATGGGCGAGCATAGAGCAGCTCCTGAGAAGCTGAGAAGAACTCAGCAAGGTCTTTCAAGCACAAACATCCTCCACAAGCCATGGGCACGGATCTATTCTATAGCAACAGGTCAGCCTTTTCACAGCAGAAAAAGCAGCTGGGCGAGCCCGTGGCAATTCCAAGCAGGGCTGTAAGCTGGTACATGCGCTGACACAACACAGGCACCCCATGCTACCCATCACAAGACCCCTCAAGCACAGCTCTCAGCTCAGCCAGGTCCCTCTCCCTGCAGGAAGCAGCTGGCTTACTCCAGAGCTGTGCCCTCAGCAGCAGGGGCACAGGGAGCAGCTTGCTCTAGGTGCTGCCTGATGAGGAGGTCCAGGGAAGGCAAACAGGAACTCTACACTGAGCAGCTGTTCCAAACATGGGAGAGACCTCGGGAGCTCGTGCTGGACTCCAGCATCTCCCAGACACATCTGATCTGAACCTTTGGGAACAGCCAGCCCCAGAAGGGCTCCATCTCCTTGGGCTGCTGCTGCTTGCTAGCTTCTCTCCAGCAGAGCGTCTCTTGCCCGGGCTGGGAAAGGACATGGAGCTGAGCTGTACTTGAGATGGGGCCGTACCAGGGACAGACGGACAGACACACAAGTGAGCTTCCTGCCAGCACTTCACACTGAGCCAGCACCACCAGTGCCTGTGTGGTAACCTAACCTGCTGCTGTAACACAAGCAGACAGGGAGGTTTGCAATGTGCTAGCACTGATACAAATTACCTTGGCATGAAAACCAAGAGTAGCTGCTGAAAATAAACTGGATCCTGCTATCACCTAGCTTGTACCCTGGATCAGATGACTTACAGTTGACCAGACAGAAAGGGCTGATGTTCCTGGCATTTCCCAGTCTGAAATGGCTCCCTCAGCCACGCACTGCAGCAGCTCTGCTCTGGGATGGTGCTAGCACAGAACAAGTTACCAAGACAGCCCCTCCAGAGGCCAAGGCCTCAGCTGTGGGCTGAGGAGGACACGCTGCCCAACACTGCTCACCCGCAGTGAAGGCCCACACCTCTGCCCAGGGTGCACCAGAGCAGAGAGTCTCGGAGCAGAGGAGGTGGAAAACAGCACATGCAAAGCTGTAATGCCACAAAACTCACCCCGACCTGAGGTTTCTGAGCTTTCCAGGGAATCCACCTTCAACGCATCAAACACCTCGAAGTCAGACTTCTTGACGTGGATGAGGTTGTTTATTGTCCCCATCTGGCTGGTAACCACAGGCTGGAAAGAACTGGGGTAAGAATCTTCCCGTGTTCACCTCCAACTGAGGCACATTCAGTGCTTCCTAGATCCTCCCAGCCCAAGCTGTCTTTGCTGTAACACTACCTCTGAGCACAGGTGGCTGGTGTCCCTCTCTGCCCTACACTTGTAGATCTCTGCTGTTCACCCTGGGAGGATTTTCCTTTATCACAGGCTCCTACATCACCTCCTGTTTCTATCCTCCATCCTGCTACATGCCCATGGGTAGGTGTGTTGTCCTTCCCAAGCTGCTCCCACATGATTCAGTTTGGAAGAGAACCTGTGAGTGCTGACCTCATGGCCCATCTTCCCATTGACAATCCTCAGTGGGACTTGAGTGCCTTCTGGCATTTCCCTGCCCTTTCCCAATGCTTCCCCATAAATCATAACTATGTCCAGAGGCACCAGCCTCTGAAATGATGGTGCCTCTGAAATGAGTCAGGGGATGGAGGTGTGCCTTTTGTTTCAGGAGATAGTCTCTGCTCTTCCTGTTCCCCTCTCCTGCAGTTACATCCTGTCTAGTTCCCTGAAGAAGACAAGATCTGCGGGGATAAAGCTTGGAGCATTACCTCAGATGGATCGTGTACCCACTGGCCATCCACAAAAAATTTGTACTGGTGCTCCCCTTCTGGAAGGTCCAGGATAGCAACGAAATCATTGTGGCTGTGCAGAGAGAACAGACGTGCAACAGCATCAGCCTGTTGATGCTCTGAACGCTGCTCTTCCAAGGGGCCCCAGGAGCCAGCACTGCCCAGCCCCTCTACCCCAACACCTTCATGCAGGCTCAGGCTTGCTCATCATCAGTGACCCAAGGCACAGCCACGACAGGCACAAGCATTCCAGTGCTCGTTTGAGCATTCCGTGGCTCAAACCCCTGGCAGCCCAGCTGCAAGTGGCAGTCTAGCCCTCCGTGCCCCGAGAAAGTGGACGTGACGGACACCCTGTGCAAGACAGGCTAAGAAGAACAGGACACAGCAGAACAGGAGCAAGTGGGACAGCTCTGTTTGTCAAATCTGAAATTGAGATAAAGTCATTCCAGATTAATTGCCAGAGTCCTTCATGAGCTTCCATATAAGTCACAGATGTGCTGCAAAACATCATTAGGGCAGGAAGATACGTGAGGGACAAACAACTAACACCCACTGGCACCAATACAATTAGGCATGGGGTAATGCTACAGCGAAGGGAAGAGCTGACAGCTTCCAGAGGACTGCTGCATACCTGGGCAGGGCCCTGCTGCCAGCACTGGCTGCTGTGTGACATCCAGCTGGGCATGCAAAGTGGCCCATCCTGTCCTGTCCCTGTTTCACAACTTCCTACTGTCCCTGCAGCACCACGCAGGGAAGGAGCTGACTGTGTATTTGCCTCAGACCACAGCTTGAGTGAACAGAGAAAAGCCAAGAGAGCAAAGGAAAGCATTCTCTGCACTGGAGCAGACATGAACATAGAGTAAATGACTTGAGGGACTGTCTACCTCTTGATGAGTGGGATCTTGGTGCTCCAGTTGTTGAAGGATCCGGAGATGAAGACCTCCTTGCCTCCATCAGCCCAGCGTATGACAGTTGGACGAGCCTGTTGGGATGGCTTCACTGACTCCTCCAGATCTGGCTGCCATGACACAAACTCCTTGTCCCCAGGAATCTGGGCAAAGAAAACCACAGAGACGTGACCGAGACACAGAGCCAACAGTGAACACATTCAGACAGCTGGTTTCTACACCTGGCCTCCAGCAGCCCACCTGCACATCACACACAGGAGCACCACAGAGCTCTTCCAGGCCCCCAGCTCCCCAGAGACCCCTCGCACGGCTGGGAACACAGCCCCACACAGGCAGTGTGCTGAGGCTCCGGAGGACAGGCAGGCAAGGGAGCAGCCAGCCCCTACCTTGGAGTCATGGGAGCTGAAAACGCTGGGGTCGTCGGTGCTGCCCACCATGATCTTGTGCGGGTGCTCCTTGGCGGGGTGGGAGGCACCGGAGCCGTCCGAGCGGTGGGACTTGGAGCCATGGCGCTCCCCAGACACCCGCTCGCTGGTGGTGTTCCCCATGGCAGCTCAGCAGCCCCTGGGAGGGAGACAAAACAACACTCTGCCTTTGCCCACGGTCCTGGCAGCAAGAAGAGGAGCAAAAGAGCCTTCTCCCAAATGTTTTTTGCCAGTGGAGACGAACGGCAATCCTAAAAAAGGCCCCAAGTTCATTTTCACTACCAAGTTTGGGAGCTGAATGGGAATTCAACAAACAAGACAGCTTGACCTAATTATAGCCACATCCTTAAGAACCATCATTCTAGTTAAGCTGGTAATTCTTAAGATCCAAAACTAATACGACTTCACATGTGTCCCACATCAGCCCTTGGCAGCCAACAGAATAGAGCTGATGGGAAAAATAAAGCCAACCTTTATCGGCAAGTCAACTGCCTGGCGTTAACAGAGCCTCTTTCACAGCCCTGCAGTCAGGCTCTACAGACAACCCAGCAAGAACACAGCCAGGGAATGAAAGTAGCAGCTGTTTTACAGTCCCCAACAAGTCTCCAAGAGCTCACAGGCAGAAGAGCGGAGCCTTGTGCCTGCAAAGGCGACAGGGAGCATTTAAAGTGTCCGAATGGAATCGCCCAAGCTGGAGCTTGTCCAAGGAGCAGGGCTAGTGCTGTGGTGTCTGCAAAAAGCTCAGCTCTCAGCAGCATTCACTTATGATTCACCAGCCAAGTCACCGTGTCAGCTGCAGCACAGCACAGCGAGGAGGACCATTTGTTGTGACCTAGCCAGCACCTGTCTGGCTGTCTGGAGGGACACGGTGAGGGAAGGGCAGCCCTGGCCACCTCAGTGTCCCTCTGCAGCTGGAGATGGGCCCCGTCCCCAATCTCACCCAGCTCAGAGAAAGGAAAACAGGAGAACTGACCAAGCCATGAACAACTACACACCTTTTAGGATAAACAACAAAGCCACTGAAAGCTACACAGGACTCTTCAGGCCTTACCCTCTTTCCAGGAGCTGAGGTGGACTGGGGTTTTTGCCCACTTCCAAGCTTGTTTTGCACTCAGCTTACTGTGGGCTCTGCAGAGCAAGCAAGGGGACAGCCAGCCTTGCTTCATGTGCTCACTTGTGACATTTGGAGGTTTGTTTAAAAGATCAAGTTATATGAAGGGTGCCAAGTGAGGCTGCCAGCCAAAGCCAGGCTTTAGAACATTATGGAGCAATTACTACAGTATTTCTTAAATCCTGAGGGCTAGAAGGAAGCTCAAGTGGGCAGCTAAGCCAAACCCCCACCCCTCTCAGTGCAGGTCAAGTATACCTGAAGATCCAGGTCAAATGAGCTACACCTCTTGCTCTGACATCTTCCCCCTCTGCTCTGCAGAGGCTCAGACAGCTCCTCACAAAAACTGCCCCAGACCTGCTGTTGAGGAGTTTCCTCTCCAGTATCTTCACTAAGGCTCCCTTGCTTCTCATCTGCAGGGAGGAAGGTGGGAAAGGCTGAACTTCCCTTGTAGCAGGACAGACCTGGGAGATACGTGCAGGTGTTAACAGGTGTGAAGCTTCCCTTTCTCTTCTCTTAAAAAATTCCAGTCCCTCTGTCCCTTACAGCTCATGCTCTCCAAACACTCCCTGAGGCTCATCCCAGGCTGTAGCTCCTGCCTGGCGTGTGCCATCTGAGTTCCCTGCATCACACACACAGGCACCCGGCCTGTGCCAGGACAGGTCTTTGTGCACAGCCTGCAACACCTGGCTTTGCTGAATTAACTTTCACAGCTCAAACCCTCCTGCATCCAGGCTAGCCCTAGTAGCACTGGGAGATGGTGTGACACAGGTACACCCAAGTCATGGATGGAAATGCTGCCCACAACACAGCCCCAGCAAAGCTCCACGGCATCTCAGCACATCCACTCTCAGTCTGGCAGCAAGCCCCTGCCAGCCGCAGCCCACAGCAAGGTGGCTGCCTGCCTGCCCCATCACCTTCGGTTCCGCGCCAGCCCCAGCTTCTCATGTGAAAAATGACAAGCGAATTACACCCATTCCCCTCCCCGGGATGTGCCACGCTTGCTGCATCTCCCACCCGGCCAGAGACCGCGCTGGGAAGCACTGGCAGGCAGCCCGAAGGGGCTTCTGCAGAGGGACGGGGTCTGTCCAGCAGCACCGGGAGCACTGGCAGGCATTCCCAGGGGCTTTCAGCGAGGAATGGGGTCCAGCACCTCGCCGGGCGTGTCAGCCCGGTGCTGGGGTGGCCCGGGGGAGCCCGATCCGCCCGGACCCTCCCTCTTTGGAGACGGAACCAGAGCCGAGCCCTGAGCTCGCCGTAAGGTTAAGGGGATGAGCTGGGAAAGCGGGGGCGGAAAATCTCCCTCCGAGCGGGCAGGGCTGGGGCTGGGGCTGGGGCTGGGGCTGGGGCTCGGGCTCTGCTCGGCGGGGGCGGTGGCGGGGCTGTCACGGCGGGCTCGGCCCCCGGGCACCCGCGGCTCTGCCCTGGCCCGAGGGAAGAGCGGGACACACCGGCAGGGCCGGGCCCTCCCGAGGGGCTGCCAGACGGGGTCGGCACCGCTGCGGGGTCCGGACGCCGCTACACCGCGGGGACGCGCAGCCACGCCTCACCCACCGCCTCCCGCAGAGGCGCACGGGGGGCTGTGCGGTGCCAGCGGCCGGGGTGCTGCCCGTGGGCCGGCGGGACCCGCAGGATGGAGCTCGGGCTGACGCAGCCAGGCGCTGTGCTGTCCGGTCCCCGCAGCAGGGGACAAGCTTTATTGCCATTTCCCGAGGCCCCCCGCTTGGGCACGTTTCCAGTTTCTCCACCACCTCTGACCTAACCCAAAGATAGAGCTCGTGGGGCTGCCTGGCCAGGATTTAGGGAGCTGTTCCCAGAGCAGCCCGTGACCAGACTTGGTGGTATCACAGCGGGAAAGCGCAACAGACCAGGCTGCACCTTCAAGGAACGGCTCCCTCCGTGCTCCGGCACAGCTAGCGAGAGATAACAAACACAAGCCCAAAGCAAAAGCAGAAGACTGCCGGCAGGACCCGCTGTCTCCTTCCCTTTAGGCTAAGGAGAGAGCGAGACGTAGAGGAGGGTGGCCACAATCATGCCGATGCTGAAGAGCACGGTGAGGACGCGGGGCACGGCGCTGGAGCGGGCAGGGCGGCGGGCGGCCCGCGGCTGCAGGGCGCTGACCACGCGCTGCCGCTGGCTGAGGATGGCGGCCCTGGCTCCCGCCCAGGCGCCCGGGCCCCGCAGCCGGTACTGGTACGGCGTGCAGGGACCGAAGGCCACCTCCATGGCCAGCTTGGGGTCCGTGAGGAACAGGGTGAGCAGGTTGGGCTTGACCCCCAGCTGGCAGGCGAGCTCATCCATGTAAGGGATGTAATCCACCTGGATGGTGTGCCGCTGGCTCTGCACGTACCTGCGGGCAGGGAGGGCAGGAGGGTTTGACACGGGGAGCACCGGGGGTAAGGGAGGCAGGGCCGTGCTGCACGGGAGCCTTACCGCTGAGCCATTCTCTGCTTGGTTTGTGTGATTTCGGCCAGCATGTCGGTGGGCGGCGGCAGGCCCCGCAGCCCTGGGCAAAAGGAGACTGGAGCTGGAGGTGGGCTGTGCTCCTGCCATAGTCTGAATGGCTCTGCAGCCCAGTTAGGAGCACAGTGGGAGACATGGGCAAAGAAAGTAACAGCAGGAAAGGAAAGGGAGAATGTGGTTGCAGGCAACAGGACCAGTTAGTGACCCCCACAAGAGAAGAACAGTGCAACAGCCGTAGAAAAACGCAAAGCGGGGTTTTGTCCTCATGAAGAAGCCAAAAGAGGATAAAAAGGTGAGTGTGGAGAGGCAGCATGTGAGGGGATGTCACAGCAATAACTCAGTCGTGGCTGGGGGAGCCCAGCTGCATCCCCCAAACTGCCCTGACTCACCTTTGAAGACGTGCGTGGCCCAGCGACTCTGGAGCTCTGAGATGGGCATGATGGCTCCCCAGGGCTGGATGAGGCCGATGAAAGCCAGCGTCGGCTTCTCCAGCTCAGGGGGAAACATGAATTTGTAGAGGGTAATCTGGTTCTCCACCACTTTCACACAGCTCTCAAGGAACGGGAAGGAGAAGCTGTAACCTGTGGCAAAAACTACGGCATCGACGTCTTCCCTGGTGCCATCCTCAAAGATGGCAGATGTCTCTGTGAACTCCTGGATGTTCGGCTTCACCCGCACCCTGCCCGAAATGATGCGGTTGGGCAGGTCATCGTTGACAGTGGGGTGCTGGTCAAGGATCCTGGAAGGCACAGACAGGCCTCGTTCAGGCCCTGGCAGGGGGACGGGCATTGCTGGGGCAGGTACCTGGGGTGCTGCTGGGGCCCTCACCCGTGCTTGGGCTTTAGGCCATAGAGGGTGTGGTCAAAGCGGGCATTCAGCTTCCACTCCATGAAGAAATTCTTGATACTTTGAGGCAGCAGGTTCTGGAGGAGCTGCATGAAGCGACTGAGGTAGCTGATATCAAAGGGGTACCCATTGTCCGCCACCCGGTGCAGCACCCAGGACCCTCGCCTGGTGCTGAGGAAAACCTGGAAGGAAGGTGAAGAGAGGTGGTGGCACAGCAGCATGCTCAGACTGGGCTGGGCCCCTGCTGTGCTCCAGGGACAGGGAAGCCAGCACAGGTACTGGGACCACAGTAGCCACCCCCACAGAGAGGGAACAGGGTGCTGGTGCCAGGTGCTGGAGGTTGGGGAGCCCACAGGGGATGGCGGGTGATGATCGGTGCCCTCTGGGGTCCCGTCCCTGTGAGCTCTCCCTGTGAGCACACCTGCTTGGCTGTGTGGCTCAGCTCCACTGCGATATCGATGCCTGAATTCCCAATGCCAACCACGACCACCCGTTTTCCCCAAAAGGGCTGAGGACTCTTGTAGTCCCGGCTGTGCAGGTATGAGCCCTCAAACTTCTCCAGCCCTGGAAGAGAGAGGGAAGCCATGCTGGGCTGGGATGTGGAGCAGGAGGGTGGCTGCCCCCTGTTCAGACTGGTGGTGTGTTTTGGGAACAAGCTGGCACCAGTCTGACCAACCGGAGTTATGCAGCCCTGGGGTGGTGCCCAGAGAGGTGGTGGCATCACCAGCATGGAAGATTCTCAGTGTAGCCCTGAGCATCCTGCTCTGGCTTGGGACTAGCCTGGCTTGGAACAGGGCTTGGACTGGAGAATTCCATGCTTCCATCCCAAAATTCTGCTGCAGATCCTGTCTGGTGCCATGCATTGCCAGTAGAGGAACAACCAGGGTCTGTGCCATCTTGCCAGACCCTGGTGACAGTGTGCTCCAGCCTTTTCCCCAGCCAAAGAGGGTCTCCACAGCTGAAAGCTCTCCAGGCTTTTCCTCCTGGCACCCGGAGGCAAGACCACCACCAGTGCTGAGCCCTCCAGCCTTGGTGAGGAGCTGGAGGGCCCAGCAGGTGCTTGGCCAGCAGCATGAGAGGGAGCCTGTCTCAGGTGGGAGAGACACACTGGCAGTGGTGACATCTGCCAGCAGGATGCTTTGGACACTCATGCAATCCCACCTGGTGTGTTAAAACTGCAGAGGCATTTAGGGATGCCAAGGAGCAGGCAAGCAGCCCACAGGCAGTACCTGGGAAGGAACTGAGCGGGAGATGAGCGTTGGTGTGGTGCCCACTGCACACCAGCACGGCATCGAAGACGGCCGCCTCCTGCTTCCCTTCGCTCTCCGTCACCACCTCCCACTGCCCGCTGCTGGCGAAGTCGGGGCGCTTGGACACGCGGCACACGCTGGTCTGGCACAGGGGAGCGGTGTCAGGCACCCTGTGCCCCCGTTCCCGCTGCCACCTCCCGCTCGGCCCCCGGCCCTCACCCTGAAGCGGATGTGGCGGAGCAGGTCGAAGTGCTGGGCGTACATGCGGAAGTACTCCATGATCTTGGAGTTGTGCATGTAGTTGGGGAAGTCCTCGGGGATGGGGAAGTCGCTGAAGCACATCATCTCCTTGGAGGTGTTGATGATGACGGAGCGGTAGATGCTGGCGCGGCCGTCCTCGGGGTGCTCCTGTGGGAGCGGGGCACAGCTCAGCGCTGCCCGGGGAACGATGGGCCACCTGCCTGCCCTGCCTGGAACCTCCTCCGTGGGTGCAGGATTAAGCCACAGGTTGTTGTAGCACCCATCCCTGCACCCAGCAACTCTCCTGTGGTTGAGACCCCCCCAACCCAAAAAACTGGGATGTATCTCTGGACTGACGGCAGTGGTGACAGTGAGTTGTGGTGGTCTTGTGCCTCAGTTTCCCCACTTGACCCTATGAGGTAGTGCACTCCCAAAGCTCCTGTGGTGCCATTGCCCTGGCTGTCACATCAGGTCTCACCAGTTGTGGAGCGAGCTCCAGTGCTTCCTGGTGAGTGGTTGCTTCTGCTTACCAGGTCTGTGCCTTGACAGCTGGGTGCTCCAGCTCTGGTTCTGCTCCACCTACCCTGTCCCTGACAGGAAGAACTAGTGGACTGTGACAGATCCACCCCAGACCCCACTCTGGCATGATGCCACCTGTGTCCCCCTAGGGCTCTCCCACATATCAGGGCATGGTGGTAACACTGGTGATTTTGTTGGTGGGTCCATGGGATTAAAGTCAGCAGCCTCATTAGGTGGGGGCAGAGACGAGCTCCAGGATTGCTCCAAGGCAGGGAGAGCCAAGGCACAGAGAAGGCAGGGCATGGTATCTCTGTGTGGGTGAGTGGCACAGAAACATAAAGAGGAGCAACCATGATTCCAGGAAAGGGCTGGGCAGGACAGGGACAGACAGTGGGGTCAGATAAGACAGGATAGGTAGGCAAGGGCTGGTAGTGACCAAGAGCAAAATAGCAGAGGAAGGTGTAGATAAGACTTGTGGGGAAGGGAGGAATGGGAAAGGGGAAATCTGCGCTGGGGGAGCAAGCCATGGAGTGAAGTCCTTGGGGAGGCTTCATCCTGCTGCTGGTGAGCAGGAGCTGGGTCCTATGTGTCTGGCACACCAGCTGGCACCACGCTGCCAAATCAGTTTTACTTCCCTTGGTTTTCCTTGGAAACCTGCCTGCCGCACACATGCAAAGCAGGGGAGCACTGCGTCACTATCTGCCAAGGACCGATCCCAAGCCCGTCCGTGCTGCTGCCAAGGAGCAGGCTGGCTGCTCAGGGCTTACCTCGAAGCGCCAGAGCCCCCCGATGTCCTTGCTCCTCTCAAAGCAGGTGGGCTCCAGCCCCTCATCCAGGCAGCATTTCAGGGCGCACAGGCCGGAGGCACCGGCACCGATGATGGCTACTCTTCGAGGAGCCATGTCCCCCCGGCGTGGTGGTGGCAGGGATGTGGGAGAAGCTGTGGCCAGGAGTTGCAGAGCCAGGCACGTCCCTCAAGGGAGGCTGCCTGGTGCTGCTCGTTTTGAGGGTGACTGTCCCTGTGCTTCCTGTGGGCGGCCAAGATGTCACAAGATGTTCTTCCAGACATGATCTACAGGTTTCTCTCACCTGCCTGCCCCACCTCCTGGCCTGCCCTGCCCTCTGCAAGAGGCATATTAAATTCTGTAAGCGTTTAATGATGCCGACACTGCCCCAGGACTTCCTGGGCAGGATAGAGATGTGGCTGTGCTTCAGATTTTGGCAGGTTGTGGCGTGGAAGACAAACCTAGGGGATGGGGGGGGACTGGCGTGACCAGCCCAGGCATCTGATGGACAGGATGCTCATCTGGGTCCCCAGCCCACGCAGCCACCTTCTGGAGGAGCTGTGTGCAGGTGACCAGGGTGGCACTGAGCCATGCCACGTGACCACCAGGACCCACTGTGGCGGGATGCACCTTGGAAGAGGCTGTCTTGCTGTGGAGCATGTGCATGTCAGCCTATGGTGTAATAGGCCAGTGCTACAAGGCCGATCTGAAACCCATGAACATTCCCACAGCACACAGAGGGTCATGGTGGCATCAGTAACAGGACAGACACTTGGCCATTTATTGCATTTATCCACTCAAAAAGTGTGCTGTGCCTTTGCTGCTTAGCTCTGGTGCGTGTGGCAAAATTGGCATGACTGGGTTACAGGGGACAGAAAAGCCTGGAGCGCTGGCTTAGGGGAACTGGAATTTAGCCTGCAGCGAGCAGGTTTCCTCCTCTGTCCATGACAGCATTCCCCAAGGGGAGGTGCAGAGCAGGATCCCAAGCGTTATTTTGGCAGCTGGGGAGGTTCTGTGCATCCCTAGTTCATGGTGTGGTCACAGCTGAGCTGTGCCAGGCAGAAGCAGGTTTCTGCCACCACTGGGGTGCACAGGCTGCCAAGGGGCAGGGGTGGCCAGCCAGTCTTGCAGCACATTGCAAAGCTGTCCTTGTTTAGGGAGTCACCCCAGGACAAAAGCCTCCCTTCCTGCGTTTGCAGGGCACCTACAAGTAAGCAAATACAGCTGCCAGGATGGCCACAGCCCCGATCAGCTTGAAGATGAGGGGCATGGCAGGGGCTGAGGTGCTCTCTTCCACGTGTCGTGTCTGCAGGGGCTTGAGGATGCGCTGCCGCTGGCTGAGGATGGCGGCCCTGGCTCCCGCCCAGGCGCCCGGGCCCCGCAGCCGGTACTGGTACGGCGTGCAGGGACCGAAGGCCACCTCCATGGCCAGCTTGGGGTCCGTGAGGAACAGGGTGAGCAGGTTGGGCTTGACCCCCAGCTGGCAGGCGAGCTCATCCATGTAAGGGATGTAATCCACCTGGATGGTGTGCCGCTGGCTCTTCACGTACCTGCGGGCAGGGAGGGAGGGCAGGTAGGTGCTGGAAGAAGAGCTGGCAGATGCCTTGCACATCAGGAAGGACTGTGGGTAGTGCGGCCAAAGACATCGCTGCCCTCTGTTGGCACACACAAATGTGCCAGGACGCATCCATGGGACAGGATGGATGCCCATGAGCAGCTGGGCCGAGGGCAGCCCCTTGGTGCTCCCGCAGGGATCTTACCGCTTTGCCATCGCTTCTTTCTTCTGCTCAATGTCAGCCTCCATGTCGTGCTGCAGAGGCAGCTCATTCAGCCCTGGGGAGGATGAGACACAATGGCCACTGTGGTGCTGGCCTTGCCTCGGTGCTGCGCCTCTCCCAGCACCACCATGGTGGTCTTGCACCTGAGGCATGTCCACGGGATGGGAAGGAGCAGCCTGTGGAGCTCAGGGTATGGACGTGCCTTTGCCTCTCAGAGAAGAGGCCATCTCACTGTGACAGCCGCAAGGCAGCAGTGCTATGACCATGCCCAGGATGGCACAACCAGCTGCTGCCTTCTCAACATGGCTGGGCACCATCTGCCCTCACTCCAGGACTGCATCCACAGGGCAGGTTTGCCTGACTCACCTTTGAAGACACGGGTGGCCCAGCGACACTGGAGCTCTGAGATGGGCATGATGGCTCCCAGGGGCTGGATGAGGCCAATAAAAGCCAGTGTTGGCTTCTCCAGCTCAGGGGGGAACATGTATTTGTAGAGGGGAATCTGGTTCTCCACCACCTTCACGCAGCTCTCGAGGAATGGGAAGGAGAAGCTGTAACCTGTGGCAAAAACTACGGCATCGACGTCTTCCCTGGTGCCATCCTCAAAGATGGCAGATGTCTCTGTGAACTCCTGGATGTTCGGCTTCACCCGCACCCTGCCCGAAATGATGCGGTTGGGCAGGTCATCGTTGACAGTGGGGTGCTGGTGAAAGACCCTGGAAGGTGCAAGAAGCCATTAGGGCACTGGGAAGGGAGTGCCTCTGCTCTGTGTCCTGCTCCATCTGCTGCTCCCTACTCTGGGGCAGCTGCCCCCACACTGCTGTCTCCAAGAGACATCAGAAGGGGCAGTGGTGGCTCCCTCAAGCATTGCCTGGGCACAACAAAATAATAACCCAGTCCAAGCACAGGGAGCAGGGAATGGCCAGGCTGGGCAGGACACAGAAGGAGGCAGACAATTCCTTCTGGGCAGGGGGAGTGTTTGGTGATACCTGTGCTTTGGCTTCAGGCCGTAATGTGAGTGATCGAACCTGGCATTCAGCTTCTTCTCCATGTAGTCACATGCCATGGATGAGCTGACCAGCCCCTGCAGGAATGTGTTCAGGCGGGTGGTTAAGATGGTGTCCATGGGGTAGCCCTGATCTGCGACACGGTTGAAGATCCACGCACCCCGACGGGTGCTGAGGAAGACCTAGACAAGGAAGAAGGATCACTGGCTGAAGGCAGTGGTCATCCTGGGAAGGCTGCCCTTGAGGAGACCTGCCCTTGCCCTGGAATCACTCTGCTTTTTGCTGCCCAAGCACTGGGTAAAGACCCAGAGGGCATCTCACAGGGGAGTGGGACCAAGTCTCAATTGCCTGGCAGCTGGGATTGGCAGGAGCCAGCATTGCCAAACACAGCAAGTGCTGGCATGGAGAAGCAGCTGTGCAAGTGTCTTGGTCCTGGTGTCCCTGCAGAGCTGACAGTGTCCCACAAGGGCAACCCTGCCCACCGGGACCCTACTCCTGCTTACCTGCTGGGCTGTTTGGCTGATCTCCACAGCCAGGTCTGACCCTGAATTCCCGATCCCGATGACAACAACCCTTTTGTCTGTGAAAGCTCGAGCATCCTTGTAGTCTCGGCTATGGAGGTAGCGGCCCTTGAACTTCTCAATTCCTGTGAGCAGAAGGAAGAGGGATGCTTGGCTTCCTGGTGCCAGGTTGGAGGATCACCCCCTAAAGACTGGAGATGCACCCTTACCTCACCAAAGCACTCCCGGGGAGCACAGGAGCTCCTGGAGTCAAAGCAAGGCAGGGAAATGTTGGGGCTGGGGGGAAAGCAGCAGGGAGAACAGGGACTGGCATGGACTAGCTTTCTAGTGTCTCTGGTGTCTGCTCACACCAGTGTACAGGCAGTACCTGGGAAGGAACTGAGTGGGAGATGTGCATCGGTGTGGTGCCCACTGCACACCAGCACGGCCTCGAAGACGGCCGCCTCCTGCTTCCCCTCGCTCTCCGTCACCACCTCCCACTGCCCGCTGCTGGCGAAGTCGGGGCGCTTGGACACGCGGCACACGCTGGTCTGGCACAGGGGAGCGGTGTCAGGCACCCTGTGCCCCCGTTCCCGCTGCCACCTCCCGCTCGGCCCCCGGCCCTCACCCTGAAGCGGATGTGGCGGAGCAGGTCGAAGTGCTGGGCGTACATGCGGAAGTACTCCATGATCTTGGAGTTGTGCATGTAGTTGGGGAAGTCCTCGGGGATGGGGAAGTCGCTGAAGCACATCATCTCCTTGGAGGTGTTGATGATGACGGAGCGGTAGATGCTGGCGCGGCCGTCCTCGGGGTGCTCCTGTGGGAGCGGGGCACAGCTCAGCGCTGCCCGGGGAACGATGGGGAAGGATGACTGGGGCTGATGAGGTGCTTCTCTTCTTGGAGCCCCTGCCCTCAGTCTCACCCAGAGGATCCCACCATGGCCAGCTGCCACCCCACCAGCTACCACGGACCCCTGAGGGTCACCGCGCTGACCCCAAGCAGGGGTTGCCAGCAGGGTTTACCTCAAACCTCCAGAGGCCTCCGATGTCGCCGGTCCTCTCGAAGCAGAAGGGCTCCAGCCCCTCCTGGAGGCAGGCTTTGATGGCGCACAGCCCGCTGCTGCCCCCGCCGATGATTGCCACCTTCTTTGCCATGCTGCGCTCCACCGCCGCGTTTCTGCCTGGGGACAGCGTCGGACAGCGGGACTGAGCTGCCAGGGGTGCAAGTGTGCGAGACTTTGATCCTGGTCAAAGAGGTCCCAAGCAAGAGAGGCAGCCCCTCAAAAGTGTGTCTGGGGTTGCAAAGCCACTGCTGTCCCCCACCAGGTGTGGACCTGGCCAGTGCTGGGTTTTGCACTTAGTGTGGTGGTGCCTCTGGGTGCCTTGAGGAGAAATCCTACCGAGCGTCAGGGAGCCTCAAAATCTCCCAGCCCATGCCAAGTCCCGGCGATGGAGGTGCCCTGAAGTGCTGTGCCCTGCTGTGGGGACCGACGGCTCCCTCCCGGGTGGGTGACAGCCCCTCTGCCTGCCCTTTGCCCTCTCCCTTCCTCGGGGAGATTCCTGCTGTACTGTCCCGGTGCCCGCTGCGAGCCGGCAGCTCGGAGGACACCCTTCACCGACCTGCGGCCGTGGGACGAGCAGCCCAGGGAAGGCTGGCGGCGGGCACGGGGCCGTGCGAGGGTCTCTGCCGGGGTGCCCCGGCCCGTGACGCCGGCCCGAGGCCTGGCTTTACGGTGTGCGGCGTCCGGGAGCGGGGCCTCCCCCTCCGTCACTCCTCCCACGGGCGCGGGGAAAGGAAGCCGGACCCGGCTGGCTCCCGGCCGCCTGCACGGCTGTTCCGGCAGCGGCGTCGCCGCAGCCTCGGCCGGCGGCCGGAGGAGCCGTCCCAGGCGCTGCGCGGGGACACGGAGACGCAGCCGATCCTTGTGGTTGCGTGCTTGGTAAACAAACGCTGTCCTGGACTTTGGCGCTAGGATTATCAGGATCGGCCCACGCCCGCTTATTCTGGTACCCGGAATGACACACCGCTCTGGCTGCTCCAGTGGCAGCCGGCACTGTATCGCCCACATCTCCCGTGCCCCCGGGCTGGGCATGTCGGCACAGTGTCCCCATAGCCACGGCTCAGCCCTGGGCTAGCGGAGTCCTTGGGGCCGGTGGAACCCTGGTGAGAGGAGTAGCACGCAATTGGGGTGTCCCTGGTGTGAGGGTGGTGGCACCAGCCAGGAAAAGGCTGTCCCTCACAGCAGGAGGCACAGACCAGGTGGATCCAAACTTGCTGCTGGCTCCTGGCACTCTCACAGCCAGACAGCCCCTGAGGCTGCAGGGGAAATTTGCTCTTCCATATGCAGAGAACTTTGCTGTAGAGTTGAGCAAGGCAGAGAGGCCAAGCTCTGCAGCTGAAATGCTTTTAATCTTCTAAAACTCTAGTATGTTTGCAGTAAGCTTAATAAAACTCCTTCTGTCCCTTGCTGTCAGCAAGGGCTGATCTCTGCCCAGGGCAGAGGTGCTGAGCTGCCAACCCACACTCCGTGCCTGCCTGTAAAAAAACATCAGAAGTATCTTACCAAGCAAGGGATCAGCACAGGAATGGAGAGCTGGCAGCACTGGCAGTGCTACTCTTCCTGCTCTGCTGTCAGCTGGCTTCTGGCTCTTGCAAGCTCTGCACAGACTGCCCAAGGGCAATAGATACCGGGGACTTCTCTGAGCTCTCCAGCGCTCTGCTGTTGCTATGAAACCTCAGTGCAAGTTGCCTCTGAATTTGCCCTTCTCCCTGCAGGAGGCTGCATAGCCCTGGACTTTACCCCCCTGTAGCTGGACTCTGTACAAACTGTGCTGTTGGGCAGCAGGGTCATGACATGCCATTTTGGTTTAGGTTGGTATTTGGTTGGTTGATGTCTGTGGAAATTCACAGTTGCCATACCTGGCAAGCACCCAGGATGTAGATTGTGTGCAGCAGTGTCTGCTGCACAGTGTCTGCTCTGGGCTTCCACAGCAGGCAGAAATGCCGTGGGACAAGTGGAGCAGAAAGATCCTCTGTCCTATCAGTGGGCTGCACCCATGCTTGGAGGTGGCAAGCACAGGAGAGCAAAGGTCTCTCTGGTGGAGACAGAAGCTTAGAAGAGCTGAGAGGGTGGCCAGGCAGCCTGTGACCCAGCAGGGCTGTGCAGTGCTGGTGGTGGGTGCTACCAGCACCTCAGAGTGTCGTGCAAGTGAGTCATAAGCAACTTTTTGGCACACACGTGTGTGGGAGCCACAAATGCACAGGTTGCTGCTGTACCCTCCATGACGTAGAGAGGAAGACCCCAACAGCTCTAAGAACAGACTCTAAGTGCAGACAAAAACATGCAAAAAACGTGTTTTGGAAAAGGTAGAGAAAAGATGTTTTGGCACAGCATAGCAAGCCCTGCCCACCCAAAGTGTGCCACCTGCCTGTGCTCCCACAGCCACCACAGGGCTGGTCCTCTGCCTCGGGGCAGGAGGGCTGTCCAGTGTCCTGGTGCTGTGTGCAATTGCCAGACTGGCCCAGCTGGCTGCCAGGCATGCAGTGCAACCCAGGGGATTATTTTTTGGTTACTGCAGCACCAACCCAGACCTGGAAGCTTCACTGGCTCACCCTGTCAGTGGGTCAGGGCTCAGCTTCAGGGGAACCTTGTCATGTCAAGCACTTCCATTTCAGCCCCTGTACAAGTGACAGTGACAGGGTGCTAGTACCAGCAGCCATCAGGCTGCTCCTGCACACTCCACCCAGGAGGACGGCACACTTAAAACACTGCCTGGTTTTAATATGACTTAATTGGTGCTTTCCAGAGCCTGTGTGCACGAATAGACCTCCATGACCACAAAGAGCCTCACCCGGGCCCAATCCCTTTACCCACATGCCAGGAGCACTGTTGAAGCTGATTATTTGAGCTGAGTCTAGAGCCCTCACTCCCTGCCTGGCTGTGGTCCCTGCTGAAGTGTGTTCTGATTTTCTGGCTCAGTCTCAGCCCCAGCTCATTACAGAGGCTCCTTGTGTTCCCCTCCTGCCAAGGACCAGCAGCCCTTTGTGAAAAACAGGTGCCAGCCTGCCTGGAGCACGGGGCACCATGGGTATGGTTGGCAGAGCCAGGGCCTCTTACTGCAGGAGGTGCAAGCAAGGCTCAGACCTGGGGCTGGGTGTATTTCTGGGCTCTGGGAAGGGGCTGGCTCTGCAGGACTCTCTGCAGCCTGGAATACTGAAAACCCTGTGGAGGGAAAAAGGATTTGGGAAGCTCTGGGCAATAGCTTCAGGAGCAGGCTGCTGCTGGGAGCTGCTCACCCTGCTGGCCACAGAATGATCAACCCTTCAGTGCCACTACCCTTTCCCAGTGACTCTGGGGGCCATGTGCTCCACATCTAGCCTTAGTGCAGCACTTAAATGAGAGCAATAGGGAAGAGACTGCTTAGGGAGGCAAAGCTCTGTCTAACTCTACGGACAGAGCCCTGTGGGTCCCCTCCAGGCAAGTGTTGTAGAGCAGGCCGTGCAGGGTATGCTTACGACAGCAGCATGATCAGTGTATTTACAGGATACAGATACAGGGGTGACTGCAGAGAAACCTCTGCAGAGTCACAGCTACCACACACACCATGGGCTATGGCAGGTGCCCAGCGAGAACATGCAGATTCACAGTATTACAGTGAGCTGCCGGATGGGTGTGCTGAGCCCTCCGCAGGCTCTGCAGACTGCTTTTGGTCACCAGAGAACAGTCAGCGCAGACCCTGCCGGACAGCCAGCAGCAGGGCAGGACAGCACCGCACATCTGAGTGCAGGCCTGGAGCCCGCAGCACCGCTCGTGTGGAAGTCTTGGCCGGACTGATGGGGTTCAGGATGCCAGTTCAGCACCAGAACCCCCTCCCGCGCGTGCTCGGAACACCGGCACACGGCCCCCGCTTGGTGCCGAGGCCAGCGCGCGGTCAGCGGCTCCAGAGCGCGAAGAGGGCGGGCGCGGTGGCCGGGGACAGCCAGCAGTGCTCCACCACGCCGTAGAGCGCGTAGCCCAGCAGCAGCCCGAAGAGCACGTCCGTCATGTTGTGCCTGCCCAGCATGACCCGGGAGATGCTGACGATGAGAGCCCAGAGCACCACGAGCACGCGCAGCGGGACGGCCAGGACCAGGTGGCGCAGGACGAAGCGGCAGACGAGAGCGGCCCTGGTGGCGTGGCCCGAGGGGAAGGAGTACTTGTCCACCGAGATGGTGACGAACATGTCCATCTTGTTGTGCGTGGGCCGCGGCCGCTTGACGAGCCCCTTCACCACCGCCACCATCACCAGGTCCAGCAGCAACGCTGGAGAGACAGCAACAGGGGTTACTGAAGGCAGAACCGTAAGCTGTCAAAGCTGCCCAAAGGTGATGTTTTTCCCCACGGCTGCAAGACCCAGGCAGGGAGAGCGCAGCACACAGCTGCTCTTGGCCTTTTGCAGCAGAAAGAGCACATCCTCAGCCTCCGCTCCTTTGCCTCACCCGTCCTGCACCACCAGCCCCTCGGCCTGCCACAGCCGACAGGGCTCTGCCCGGCCTGCACCCCAGGGCTTTTCTCTCTGTGCAGAATCTGATCTTGCCATGACTCGGGGCCCAATCTGCTCCTTAATCTGAGGGCAGCAGAGGCACTAAGTCCCCAGAGCTCCCTTCCTGGCAGTGCTGACTCTGCATTGTGTCTGCCCTGCTGACCGGGGTCAAACCGACTGGGTGAATGATCAACCCCCTCCCCGCCGGCACAGGTCAGCGGGAAATGCTCAGGGCTGGTGGGCTGCCAGGGCTCCTGGGGTCTGCCTTCTCCCTGCCGCTCGGGGAAAAGTTAACCCTGCTCTGGTTCTCAAGACGTGAATCAAGGATAATTTATGGTGGCTTGCCCCTGAGAGCTAAAGGCTGTTGTCACAGACGAGGCAAAGCACCTGTGATAAATGTTCAGCCAGTATTTGGCAAGAGCAGCTTCTCGTGTAGGGCAAAGGGTGCTTTCTCCATCCCTGTTAGCTCAGCTTAGCACAGCACCCACAGCCTGGGCTACTTCTTGTTGTGTAAGAGACCAACTTCTGGGAAGGGGCTGGCTAAGACACATTTCTGAACACCAAATCTTTTGGTCACTTCAGTTCATTTCCTTTGGTTAATCATGTAAGACCAATTTTTTTTTTTTTTCCCCACACGTAAAACTAGTTCAATTGCTTTTTCTACACAGGAACTGGGAGATTCAAGTTGGACACGAGGGAATCCTCCTTCCCCACATGGGTGCTGCAACCCAGGGGCAGATCCCCAGAGAGGTGGGTGGCTCTTGCCCAGAGCACCGAGGTGCTGGGACAGCTCTCCTTGGAGCAAAGGTTATGCTGGAGGCATCCAGTTCTGCTGTGGGGCTCCAATTTAACCATGTGCTGCTAGATGAGAAGGGAAACATAGGTTTGTGCATCTATCAAGCAAATTTCAATTCAAAATTGAAGTGTGAGATCCTAATTATTTGCAACTTAATACAAGAGTAACATCACGGAACTGAAAGGTCTGGTGCCCTGGAGCTATTACAGTTCCTAAATAAGCAAAAATTAATCCCCTTAAATATACCTAGGATGTTCTGTGTGTGTATGAAATACTAGACCACGCAGGATTAAAATTTGTGCTTTGAGCAAGGTTTCCTCACTGGCTGGTACAGAACAATCCACGAAGGCCCTGCAGGCAGGGAGCCACGGGTCTGTGTGCCAGAGCAGCTTTTCAGGGAAATGCCTGGTGTCTCAACACTCGGCAGCGCACCTGGAAAGCGCTGTTGTGACAAGCTCGGGGAGCTGAGAGGCTTCGGCCTCGAGAGCGTTTTGTAACTGCAGGAGCAGTTTAGCAATCGGGAGTTTGCCAGTTCACGGTTGCAGCTGTGACAAATGACTCGTGTCGGCGTAAGCTGCAGGGTCACTCCTCTGCCACCAGGCATCGCGGGTGAGCCTGCACAGGTTGCTCAAAACCAGCCGGTGCTCTCGGGGCTTCGGCTTACCCAGCTCTGCCCCATCCCTCGGGCCGCCCTCCCCAGCCCCGGGGCGAGCCCCCGCCTCACCGAAGAGCAGGTTGAGCAGCACCTCCCTGGCCGCCGAGCTGTCACTGTGGCAGAGCCCGTAGAAGGTGCCGAGCAGCCAGGGGATGCCGTGCCCCGACACCTCGATGACCTTCATGAGCGGGCGGGCGCTGCCCCAGGCCGAGCCCTCCCCAGCGCACACCCCCAGGCGCTTGGAGGCCCAGAGGTCGATGGCGAGCAGGGAGCTGAGGGCGATGCCCACGAAGGACGGGTTCAGCTTCATGCAGTCCTCCTCGGGCAGCGGGGCGGCGGCGGCGCCGGCGGGCTCCCTGCGGCGGGACGGGCTCTCGGGGGCGGCGGGCCCGCGCTGGCTCAGCGACAGGAACTCCAGGCGGCCGCCGCTGCCGGCGCGCCGCTCGCGGCTGCTCCGGGGGCTCGGCATGACGACGGCGGGCGGCGGGCGCCGGTCACCCGCTGCCAGGCCCGCTCGGGACCCGGCATGTCACCCTGCCCGGGGCCGCTTCCCTCTCCCCCTCCCCGCGCCCTGCCCGTTATCCCCGCCCCGCGCTACCGCACGGCCGGGGCGCGGTGCCCCCGCTCTCGGCGCGTCCCCAAGGACGCGGAAGGTGCGGCGCGCCCGCGCTGCCCCCGGTACCGGGCGGCCCCGGCGCCGCTTCCGCTTCCTGTTCCGCTTCCGCCCGTGACGCGCTCTCGGCTCCCGGTGCGCCCCGCCCACCGGCGCGCACGTGCCCGCCGCGGCCGGCGTACGGCGGCCGGCGAGG